GAGGAGGAGTAGCTGTTCCTTGCATGAAGAATCGATTTTTCCCCTGTGCCCTTCCCTACCCTACTTTGGGCCATCGCGGCATCCTCTCCCGTGTTTTCTTTTTTTCCACCTCTCGCGATCTTAGTAATGCTGCCAGTTAACAATTTGCGATTGTGGTGGTCGATGAACCTGGTACTGCAGCTGTTTAAGCAATCGAGCGCCCGCGTGCTTTGCACTGCCCGCTAGCTTCCAGGTGCGGGGACGAGCTCTCCAACACAGGCGCCCCCTTCCCTGCCATGTGGCAGTCGAGCGACGGTTCTGCCCCCCCCATCAGATGAACGCACTGGTGAATTCCGCAATCACTACACTGCAAATTGCGTACATGTCTGGGCAACGGTCCAGGCTCTGGTTGAAATCGAATTGAAACCCCGTAGTAGATGAAAATGTAGGCCCTTACCCCAATACTTGGTCTACTCGTCGCGTCTGTCTGTCTGTCCGTCTGTGCCTGTCTGTGTGTGTCTCTGTCGCTCGCTCTCTCGCTGCCTGTCTTTCTTTCTTTATGTCATCGCTTCGCTCATTCCGCCGGCCCTCGAGCGCTCTATGGGGCCTCTTTGAAGCCTCTTGAGGGCCTCTTTGGGGCCTCCAAGGAGCCTCTTGGGGGCCTCTTTGGGGTCTCTTGGGGCGGCGTCTTCGGGCCCCCTTGGGCCTCTTGGGGGGCTCTTGGTGGCCTCTTGGGGCGGGGTAGGCTAGTGCACCCCCCTCGGAGGCCACAACCCTCGTGAGGGGTGTCGAAAAAAAAGGCCCTCAAAACCACCTCTGAGTAGACCTTCTTCCCGGGACCTTCCCGGGACCTTCCCGGGACCTTCCCGAGACCTTCCCAGGCTGTGGTCGGGGTACTTTTCGCCGGGGGACCCCCAGGGGCCGCCCCGCGCGCGCGAACTAGAAAAATGGTTAACCAGTTACCGGAGATCTTATCGCGCCTCTGGCCCGTTGGGCCGGCGATTTTTTTTCTTTCTCTCCTCTCTCTCTCTTTCCCTCTTTGTTTCGATGCCATTCACTTGGTCTGCCAATCTGCCTGGGCCTAGCAATTCAGCCCTGGCTTCCATGTCTGCTATAATTTCAATCCGCGTTTACGACCGAAGTGATGACAGCAATACGAACAGCTACATTACATGAAAACGTTTTTCGTATATCCTCTGGTACTGCGCTGTGGCGCTGCCTCTCCTATCTCTGGTTTTCACGCGCAGAGTTTCAAGCATGTGGTTTTCAATATTCGACTACCCTCGGCCCTGTCAAACGTATGTTCTGGCTGCAGCGTTGGTCGCATTCAGGGATCGATTCTCTGCTCCCGTTGTTCAGAGTGACGCTCTCGACCCAGCGGGGGTCATATTTCTGGATCCGATTCTTTTCTAGTCTTTGCCACCTCTTCCTTTCCCCTCCGTTGTCTTCCCCCGGTTCTCTTGCTTCTAGGGGCCCTCTTGCTCCTCCTGTTTATGCTGCTGCTCCTTCTTTTCTTCTTTGCTTCCTCATTATCGTTCTTTTTATCCTGCCATCCGCCAACTCCTCTTCCTCTAATGTACAAGGCCCACTTTGCTGATTGTGCATCACAGGATTTTTACTGGGGGGATCAAGGTCTTCTAGGAAAGCCCAGTCGGTGGATAAGGACAAAAACAGTAACATGGGAAGGAATGTGTGGGATGGTCAGGATGTCAGATATGGCGCGTATGTATCTAGCTTGCTGTCCCCCCCTAATTACCCCCGTGGTCCTTTCTCCTTTCTACTTCCTCTTCTCTCCTCATTAGTTCCCATTCATTTTCCCTCTTTTCCACAGCCCCCTCCGCCTCCAACTTCCTCCGTTCTCATCCCCTTCTCATCCGAGGGACTGGCTGACCGCTCTCAGCGGCAAAAGCCTATGCGCCGCGCCAGCTCACAATCTTGGTCGCTGCCTGGCTTCTCGAGGAAGGGAAAGGCTTGATGATCATGGGAGGCGAAGGTGGCGAGGACTGGCGAACGGACGCGAGAGAAGGCGAAGGGTGAGCGGGCAAGAGCGGATGGGGCAGGGAGGGTCTGGAGGTAATGGAGCGGAGGTGGATATAGAGAGTTTGAGGAGTGGGCCGGGAGGAGAGCATGGTGGGTGGACGTGGGGGAGGGACAGGAGAGCGGGCGTACCAGTAATCAGTTCAGGGAGGGACGGGAGGGGCGAGGGAGGTGTGGCGAGTTGCCCCGCGCCTGCAGCCCGTCCCTGCCCTCCCCCCCCCCCGCAGCGGCGCGGGATGGCGCCCAAGACGTGCCCCCTTGGCCACTCGCTCGGTGTCTGGGAGGCGGAGGCGGGCTCGTGCGACGGGCGCCTCGGGGGGCGCCACCGACGCCAGACCCAGATGGAGGAAGGGATGGAGGGTAGGTAAGCACGCACAGTACTCTGTTGAAGGTTTTGAGAGCCGCTCTACCAACCGCTACAGCAATCAGCTGCCAGTGTAAGGAGCTGGTGGCACGCGTGTCTTGTCTGTGCAGGACGAAGCACGGTTTATCCACAGATTTTGCTGAATCGTTTGGGACGGCGCGCGGCGTGTCTGCCCTTCCGTCCAAAAGCAGCTCGGAGTGACAATTTCACAGAAGACTGAACGGATGCTTCACGAAAACTTCGCATCCCTACTTAGTTGGTTGCATGAATGTGCCCGGGGCCTTTTTCGCTGAATTTGAAGACTGCGCTGGCTAGCAGTGCTCGTCTGATTCCATTCTCAGCGCGCCCGGCCTCTTTGACGAACTTGTTCGTAGAGCTCGGATGAATAGTAGATGCCGTGCCGAGGACGCGGATGCCATTGCCGAATGCCTCGTGGTCTATGAGCACATGTGGCTGATAGCGGAGGCACGAGACGTTACAGTACGACGATGATCACATGCGACCAGTAGCCGTGGTTTGCGGATGCACATTGGGGTTCCCTTGTCAGCAATGCGCTGGGTAAAGTCGTACGCGTACGCGCTCCTAGACGCGTAAGAGCGTTTCTCTACAGCAGCCTTGTTTCATGAGCTCACACATCAAATGCTTGCCCCCGATTTCGGGTTTGGCTTTGCGTCCGAGATCTTCGAGATGCGGACGACGTCGTATTGACAGTGTTTTTTGACCCTGTCCCTTTGAAAACCGCCGATTTGATATCGATCCAACGCCGCCAAACATGATATGGGCCCCAAGTCAGTGCAGTTTGGGAGGCCGCGAGTGGGCGTTGCAAGCCTGCGATGGGACTCCCGCCAGGATCTCCAACCTGTGGTTCGCGACACGATCAGAGACGCCTGAAGAGACGATGGCCCGATTGCCTTGATCAATATGCGGGTTCAGTACATATAGCTTGCACTGTAATGTCTAGATTTCCTGCAATGTGTCCAGTTTTGCTTTCTAACCGTGCATCTCTGGTGTTTGTGGTTCCGAGCTTGCTGCATGCCTGGTGACTGTGCTGACAGGTGCCAGAACAGTTCCTGGGTCGTCAGCCATACGAATCCTTGAAACTTCTGCACACTTTGAAGACGAATGTGTGCAGGGCCAGTGCGAGGGCCACATTTTGAAATGGAGGCGGCCTCCATTCTTGAAGCTGTCAAAGAAGTTTACGAATGTGCGCGGTTCCAGAGCTAGAACCACATTTCGAAAACTGGCCGCCCTTCATCATTGAAGCTGCTACATGCTTTGAAAAAGAGTATGCGCGGCACTAAGGCGAGAACCACATATTTTGAACACACCCCGCCCTCCCTCCTTGAAACAGTTGCACACTTTACGATAAATGCGCGCGGCGCTGAGACGAAAGCTACATGTTGAAAACGAGCCCGCCCTCCAAGCTTCAGGATCATAAATGGTGAGGAATATTCGGGCGAAACGCCGGACCCGCCCTACCGACGCGTCTAGGGGTGCGACAGGGGTGACTTATTCAAAAGGAAAAGGGATGGAGGACGAGGGGGAGATGGGAAAGGAGAGGGAGGAGGAGGCAAGAGGAGGAGAATGGGGAGGAGGTGGAGGAACAGGACAGGGGGTGCAGGCACAAGTAGGAAAGGAAAGCATGATGGAGTAGGACGATGATGCTGATGCTGATGATGCTGATGATGACGATTATGCTGATGATGATGATGATGACGATCACGATGATGATGATGATGATGATGATGATGATGATGATGATGATGATGATGATGATGACGACGACGACGATGCTGATGCTGTTGATGATGATGATGATGCTGATGATGATTCTGCTGATGTTGATGATGATGATGATGAGTATGATGATGATGATGCTGCTGATGATGGGATGATGATGATGAGGACGATGATAATTTTGATGACGATCATGATGATGATGCTGATGATGATGATGACGATGATGATGACGATCATGATGATGATTATGATGATGATGCTGATGATGCTGATAATGACAATGGTGATGATGCTGATGATGACGGTGCTGATGATGATGCTGATGATTCTAATGATGATGATGATGATGATGATGATGATGATGGTGATGGTGATGATGTGGCTGATATTGATGATTATCATGCTGAAGATGACGATGATGTTGCTTATGAGTATGATGATGATGACGATGATGATGCTGATGATGATACTGATGATGCTGATGATGATGACGATGATGCTGATGATGATGATGATGACGACGATGATGATGATGATGATGATGATGATGATGATGATGATGATGATGACGATTATGATGATGCTGATGATGCTGATGATGATGATTATGACGATGGTGACGCTGATGCTGATGCTGCTGCTGATGCTGCTGATGATGACGGTGATGATGATGATGATGATGATGATGATGATGATGATGATGATGATGCTGCTGCTGCTGCTGCTGCTGCTGCTGATGATTCTGATGATGATGATGATGATGACGACGACGACGACGATGACGATGATGATGATGATGATGATGATGATGATGATGATGATGATGATGATGATGATGAGGCGCAGATGTGGTGACTAGAGGGAGGGGGATCTTACGATCACAGTTGGTTAGCCAGCCATCGTTAGCTACAACGAGTAGCACATCATCCCTACACGCGTCGTGCATGATCTCTTCCGGCGACTACAGAGATTCTGCGAAGTACTCGCAGTTCGCGAATCATACCTCGTGTGATGGGATTGCATAGGCCGCCGACCATACACCGCCGCCCACCCCAAACCAATTCGCACTCCTATACCCAACCCGACGCCCGACCCGACGTCCCGGACACCCGTCACGTCCCGTATCGATTCGATGTCCCACGCGACAGCCAGCCCGACGACCCACGATCGGCGTGAGAGTCACAATCCGACGGCGTCCCCCCCCCCTCACCCTCGCAGCGATTTGGCCACAATCCGTACCTATCTTTACCGTCCACGCCTTGACGCGGACACATAGCGTAACGTTGTCGACCATGTGTTCATGCGATTGCGATTCATTCGTCGCTGACCGAAGCTTCAGGCTTTCAAGCCCATGCATCTCCGACAGCATAGTCCCGATGCGACGACCGCAGCCGTTCTCAGATGCATCTGCCGGCGACGCCAAGGTCCTCCGCAACAAATCCGAATGCCAACCCAAGCGATACATATGTGAATGTGGGTGGACGACGAGGAGATGGGGGTTGGAGAAAGGATGTAAGCTGACCAGAAGGAAAGGGATGGATGGTGAAGGAATGAGGAAGGTGGGGAGACGAATGAGGGATGAATAATGGGGAGGATGGAAGATAGATAGTGAGGGTGGATTACGAACAAGAGGGAAGGAGGTGAGAAGGAGCTTGGAGGAGCAGGGTGAGAAGGCTAAGGAAGGAGAAGAAGTGTCATGACTGCCGTTCTCCAGCCTGCGTTCTTCCAGGTGCCGCCGCGTCATCCGCGACGGGGACCTGGTGATGGACTGCAGGCTCTCAGGGGATGCCTTCCCCCATGCTTGCACGGACGTGTACGCACGTTTGTGTACATTGTGCAGTACACTGTTAATGCACGCATGCGTGTGCACAAGCAGTCATTATGCACAGCACGCAAACACTTGTATGCGTATACTGGCTGTGCAAAGACGTGAATGCGAGCGCCGCCCTGCGGAAACAGAAACACGCCGGGGGCAGGCCAGAAGCCGAGGAGAGGAGGGGCGGCGTCGACGGTTGGGCGACGGGCTCCTCTAGTGAGGGGGAGCAGGGGGGGCGGGGAAAAGGCGGAATGGGGGTGGGAGCAGGGGCCTGGGCAAAGGGGGCATGGGGAAACGGGCAGGGAGACTGTGGGCAGGGAGGGAGCAGCGAGTGAAAGAGAGACTCGAGGAAGGGGAGCGGCGGAAGAGGGATGGGGGGGATGGGGGGAGCGGCGGAGATGAGCGAGGAGGGATGGGGGAGCGGCGGTGTAATGGACACTGTCGGAGAGAGGAGGGAGGAGGGAGTAGGGCGCAGCTCTGACTATGTCGTTGCGTCTCCTGCTGCACCTCTTCCTGCTAATCCTCGTCCTTCACTCTCCGCCTTCCCCTCCCCCTCCTCCCGAGCCTCCTGCTTCTCCAATTCGCCCTTCCCCTTTTTGTTTGAGCAGGAGTCGTTGTCTGTCCCCAGGCGATGCAACTATTACCTGTGCAACGAATGCTACAACGACCGGAGCTCGCTGTGGATGTCGCTGGCGTCCTTCATCCCGGACCCTGGGACCAAGAGATGATGGACGGGGAGACTGAAGAGGGAGGAGGGGGTCGGGGCCCATCAATCATTTGAACTACAGGTTCTTCTTTGCGTTTAGGTCACTCGCTCGCCGGATCAGCCGACCCGTGCCACCAGGTGAGCCGGGTCAGTCAGCTGACTCATGCCACTGGGCCATTGGACAATTAGGTCGCTGGGTCAGCTGTGTGAGGCGACCCACGCCACCGAGTCACTGGGCCTCTGGGTCGCTGGGTCCGCTGCGAGTGTCATCATATGTGGCATTGAATGAACAATCCTTGCATTCCTCATCCGTAGTTTTCTTCGGACCCCCGCAGAGTGCACGAAGTTGTGTAGACAGACAGAGGAGTATGTGTGTGTGTGTGCGTCAGAGGCTTCGCGTTCAGTACTTACCCTGTCTCCGTCTCGTCGCTGCGCGCGGGGCCTCTAGCGCCAAAGCGTGTGTGCGTGTGACGGTTTGGCTGGCTCCGCCTGGAGTGACAGGGCGCTCTGCATTGGATCCCCGCTGCGCTCGCTCGCGAGCGAGCCCGGCGTCCAGGCCCCAGTAGGCAGTTGGTGCCCGGCTGGCTACTCCAAGGACGGGGACGTGGAGGCGTTGTAGCGCTGGCGCATCCCCATGATCAAGCACTGTCGCGTCGTCATGGTCGCGTGTACCGGCTACTTCGCTCCAGGGTATTTCAAGTGGCCACTGTTCGCCGTTGGGTGCCGAGATTGCCACCGGTTATGTGGCTGTGATTGCCATCGTCGGTCTGTTCTCCTACTACCCACGGTGCCTGGTCTAAGTCGGGGTCGAGAGTCGCAGAGCAGCGTCGCACATCGCTCAATCAAATAAGCCGTCATTATCGTCATCTACAGTAATGTCTCTTGCGACTATGGCACCACATTCAGCATCAATGCATTATCATCGAATTGTGGGGGCCTTTCAGGGGGTTGTCTCATCCTCGGCCGTGTCACGGCATACGAAGTACCCCATTGAACCCAAGCAGCGTGCTCTGGCTTCCCACGGGCCGCACAATGTTTGCAATCGGTCTTCCAAAACACCGTGCGGGCGGTCTTGCGTTCGCATTCGCCACAATTGGCATCCCAGTCATGCAGATACCTTCGACGGGTCGCTGCACTTCGCCACTTTTAACACCCACGGCTTCTGCTGAGACTGGTCACGTGCGAGGGACAAGCTGCAGTCGCTCATTAGACCTCGCCCAGCAGCATAATATCGACGTTCTCATGCTGAGCGACTTGCACGCCGAGGGTTTACAATTGCAGATGTCGAAGAATTCACATTGATTATTGGACACCGCGCCGGCATCCTGCTGAGACAACGTGCCTGGCGGCGCTGGCAGGAAGGTGGACCGCGGTATTGGCTTAGAGGCGAACGTACTCCATTTCTATATTTTTTCATCTTCAATGGTGGACGTATATCTTCAGTTCTGTTTGCATCCCCACGGGCGCATCAGTCTCTGTCAAGAGGGTCGTCTTCAAGGAGGCCACGTCCCTGCGTCATCGAGCTCTGGGGGACCTTGGCGCATCGCCGACGAACCCTCCAGACACCGTCGTCAAGAGATCTGGGGGGGCGACTGGAGCGATCATGTTGCTGCTGGCCAGTCAGGCCGTCTGGATCTGGCCGGCACACACGGCGTGGGCACCCCGTCCAACCCCGTCCACGTTCGTCGGCCAGATCCAGAGGAAGTGGCAATTCGGACAGCATCTTGCCGGTGCAGACAGCTCTCGCAAAGTGGACCATCGCGGCACTTGGCGGAGCCCGTTCTATGGGAAATGGTAGGAGCTTGACTATTTCCTGTGTTCCCCTTGCATCCTCCGAGAGATTCAGCGGGTTAACGCGCTCGGTTTCGCAAGTCCAAACCTGGGGGCCGCTCGAATAAGGCAAGCCAGAAGCAGCAGCTCGCCCATGCTGGCCGCGAAGTCCCCCGAGGCTGGCTCAACCTGGCCCAGCTCCAGGGGCCCAGCCCGGCGGCGCGCCAAGCCAAACAGCAGCTCTGCCAGACCCTGCGAGGCCAACCATCCGACCGCGGCTCCGACGACGGCGACGCCCCCGACCCCGCGGCTGCCCGGGTGCCTTCCCCGACGTTCGAAGCATGTCTCGAAGAGCACCGGGCGTTCATCAGCACGGGCGGTTTCGGCCTGGACGCCGCCAGCCCCGCCTCTGCTGGGGCTTCGCGCCATCAGCCGCGGCCGCCAGCTGGTCTGCAGCCCGCCGACTAGCTTGGACTCCACGATTGCCCCGAACATCGGCGCCGCGCGGGCGACAGTTACCGCGGGGGGGATCAGCGCCATGCGCCGCGCTGTCCTCTCGGGTATAGTCAGGGCCCTAGCTGAAGGGGCCCGGTTAGTAGTGGGGCCCCGCAGCCCCTACATTGGCCAGAATCACTGAGCCTGGTGTGCCGTAGCTGGTGTTTTTTCGGGTGACGGCAGTTCCGATAGTGGAACGGGGTGGGGGGGCGCCCCCCAGTGCGCGTCGCTAAACCAGGCCCCGCTAAACCCAGTTCTGCCAGCGCCCGATCCTCTGGCCCCAGGACGCCGATCCACGCGGTGCGTGCACAGTCTTTTTGCGATGCGATTCCGAGTGCGCTGCCCGGGTAGTCCAGGCAGGGTTTCTGGCGCGCCCGTGCCCGCGGCCTTTTTGCCCACGGCACCCGGCACCTGCTCCAGTTTCTGCGGGCTCGCCACGCGATACTTTGCCGCCGCGTCAAGGGCCGCGGTGGCGACGTAGGTGGCGACGTCGCTGATCGCGCGGCCGATGCCGGCGTCGGAGGCGAGCGGCTGCTCTGGCCCGACGCCGCGCTGGTGCTCTGGCCAGCAGGGTTGTATGATCTCGGGGCTGGCGCCCCAGCAGAGGACCACCGCCAGCGCGTCAGAGGCCCGAGGTCCCGCGGCTCGGGCGACCCACGCAGCTCGGATGTATCATGGTTCATGCAGCATCAGTTCCTTAAGCCGCAGCCTCTGGACACGACGTGGGCTGAGCTGTTGGAGCGCTTGCCAATCGAGGTTGGATCCGCAGTTGGCCGCGAACGACGGAGCGAGGCCCACTGCCCTGGCGCCGAGACCTGCCCGGGGCAGATTCAATCGCTGCGCTCGCTGGTCAGAAGCGCTTGCGAGCGCTTCCGGACTGAACAGAACCGAGCTGGAGAGGGCGCCGCCCGCGAACAGTCGCGCGCTGCGCGGCGCCGTCTCCGCCGCTTCAAGGCGATGTGCCGCTGGTGAAAGATGGGCCAGACCATCGTGCAGCTTGACGACGCGCGCGGTCACCGAGACGCCAGGCGATTCTACGCACTGCTCCCGCAGCGGGGCGTCCATATCGACGGCGCCTCGCGAGATGGCCGAGAACGCTTTCCCCTCGGCGCCGTGCGAGCGCGCTGCCAGGACGTCAGCGGCCATCGCGCAGGGATTTCTGATGGCGCCATCGAACGAGCCGGTGACCAATGCCGGATTGATGACTCCATTGGCCACCCACCGTCGCTCCGGGAAGTCCGCGACATTCTTGCCAGATTGCGGGGCGCCCGCTGGAGGAGGCGAGGTCGCCGTAGGGCTACTTCGACGGCGGCCGCCGCGGCCCGCGGATGGTAGTCGAGCTTCTGCTGTGGGTGTGGTCGGCGCACCCTAATCTGAAAGTGCAAATAGACGTTGCGTGGCGCGCGCCGACGTTGCCGCCCAGGCCCCTTCTGACATCGCATGCCCTGCCCATGGTTATCGTTCTCAGGCGTCTGGGACCTCGACCACCTTGTGCTCCTGCTTTCCTCTTCTTCGCCCTCCAGTCCTCGCCCTCCCGTCCTCCTCTCGTCGTCCTCCTCTTCCCCCCTCTCTCCTAGTCCTCCTCTTTTTCCTTTTCGTCTATCCTCGTCCTTCGCTCCTCCTCTCGTCTCCTTGTCCTCGTCGTCCATCCCTCGTCCTCCTTATATCCTCTTCCTCCACTCCTTCGTTCTTCATTCTTCTCCTCTCGCTCCATGTCCTTCCCCCCCCGACCTCTTGCTTTTTTGTATATATATTAAAAAATTATAACCAAGAATCAAACATAAGTATATATATATACATATATGTTAGCTATATTTCAATGTTATATATATATATGTATACATACATCATATATATACATACATTTATATATATATATATATATATGTGTGTGTATACAGATATATATATAATTAGATGTACACATATATATATGATTATACAAAAAAGAAACTTATTTAACTATTTATTAATTTGCTTTTTCTCACCATCTCCCCCCCCTCCTTCTTCTTTCTTCCCCCCCATCTTTTGAGATCGCATCTCCGTGGCAGCGGCGCGGCGCCTGCTGATTTGGGCGCGGGTTTTGGGGCGGGGGGGGGGGGGGGGCGCGGCAGCGGGGGTCGCCTTGGCCAGCTGCCATGGCAGAGGAGACAAGCAAGCAAATCATCAAACAAAACATCGCATTCCGAGCTCGATTCAGGGTTGAGTCGAAGACGGTCGTGGCGTCGTTTCGGATAGTGCCTCGCCTTCAAAAACCGTGGCGGCGATCCAGTAAGATCGTTGCGTACGCAGCAGATTATATATAACATCATGAAGGATGGGTACGATCCGAGAGATACAAACAGCAGCGGCGTGCTCGTGGAAGAAAAAACCGCGTTGGCGGGAGCGCCAACAGAGCCATCCACTATCCCTTTGTGGAGAAGATCAGTGTAGATCCAGACATGGCCCTGCGCAACCAACTCGGCGAACCAGCGGGTTTTGGCAGTTTGTCGTGCAGCCATCTGAATTGTATTTTCCGCGGCGTCTTGGGCAGCAGAAGAGGATGCGAGTGCTCGGGGGCCCGCGGTGGCGGGGCCGAGCGCGCCAAGTGTGATTGCAAGGTGTCTTCACTTATGGACGATCAGGGAAACTGCGACTTCGAGAAAGTGCGAGCTCACGATGCTGAGTGGGGTCGACAGTGCGAAGGCGGCCTGGAGTGGGAGGTCCTGTCTTGGAGGATGGGCGTGGAGGAGCCAG